CGGCAGGGGAGCTGGCTGACTTCCGCAGGGGTCGGCTAGGGGCGACGGGGGAGCGGGGGCGGGGTGGGGGGTTTGAGTGTGGGGGGCACTGGTGGCCCTAGTGGGTTTGAGGGGGTTGGTGGGCGCGGCCCCGCGAGTACCCTGCAACTTTGAGTGTGGGGGGCACTAGGGGCCCTAGTGGGTTTGAGGGGTTTGGTGGGCGCGGCCCCGCGGGTACCCTGCAAGCATAGGGCCTCGGAAATGAGGTAAATCATGTTGCCCCCCGCCCCAACAGTGGTAGTCACTGGTCAGAGATGGGATGGGGCCGCCGGTGGGGGGCCGGCTAACGCAAAGACCATGCATTTTGCCAGTAGCTGCACGGCCTGCGGCCCTACGCCTCCCTTTCTCATCGTCCCCCACCCCTCATCGAGTAGCAGCAAAGGCTATGGGCCTATGGCCAACACTCTCCCACACGAGGAGGTAGTGAAAGGCAAAAACAATTTTAGAGAAGAACATAGTGTAGTTAAAAAAATAAAATAAAAAAAAATCCTTATTCTGTGTTATGAACTTGGTTGTCTGCCGATTTTTACCGCCACTCACACACAGACCGTCTCATACACGCCCATACATGCACGAGAGAAGGGGAAGAGGAGACAGAGTTCAAACTGCACACAGATCAGAATAGACAGCGGAATTCAACCATGCATAGATGGGGAGAAGAGCTCAGAAGACACGTTGTGTTTCTCACTCTCTGACAAACTCCCAACAACCAATCACAAGAAGAACCTGCAAGGATGGCAATTGAAATCACACAGATGATGAGCCACTCAACTAAAATATCGTCACAGAGAGTAGCGCCACATCAAAACAGCCTCCCTGAGGCTAGCGCCAACCACCGTGATGAAGAACAGATCCCGCGATGAAGTCTTCAGTGTGCCGATGGACAACTCAGACGAAGTACCAGGCAGCTATGGCTGCCACCACCCATGAACACACAGTGTAGAGCCTCGATATAGCCCGGCCATACGCAGATACTGAAGGGCCTAACCTATTAATAGACTGCAGTCTACATTCACTACAGGCTACAACTACTCTAGCCTACACGTAAACTGACTGACTGACCGACCGGTACTGTTTCTGTTTCGGCCTCCCGGCCTTTACCGGACCCGGCTATAGGCTATAGGACCGTCTATCAGCATAGGCCCATAGGGCCTGTCTATCCTAGGGGTAGCCCGGGCCTGCTATTCGCAGTTAGGGTAGTAATAGGAAATCCAATTAGTGTTACGACTCTATTTTTCCAAATTTACAGATATGTCCCTCACGAATTTCCTTACAGGTAGGTCTCTCGGTTTAGCCCTCAGCCAAATAAAATCACAAATCTAACCTACCGGGTCGCTGTACAACCTCGCAAGCAGTCTCGACAGTCAGAATCATCAAGTCATTGCACTAGTCTCAAAGAGGGAGCGCCTCACACTTCCTCCGTCCCACAAAGTGAGAGTCGCAAAAAAAAAGCATAGGACCCCTGGTAAAACCCAACGCCACCTAAATACTGAACCCGTGTCGCCACCTGCACCCTGATGCGAAGGCCTGTATGCAAAATTCACAGACTGAGCTTGCGCCTGTCGATCAATAGGCGGTCACAGACCTGCATCCTGCTACGAAGGCTCAGACCGGTAATGATACAGTTTGGCTATCACAGACTGAGCCTACGTCTGTCGATCAATAGGCGGTATAGGGTCCGATGGCGTCCCCTGCCCGTGCGGGCCGAGTCTTGTCCTTTGCCTGACGCGTCGACCTCCACCATCATCTCCATCTGCCGCCGGGCGCCGGGGCACGTAATCGGAGTCACCTGGATCGTCGGCGCCTGTGGTTTCGCCAGCCTCCGCGGCTGTGGAGCTGTCATCATGGTAGATCACGACATCGCCTCGTCTCTTCTCAACTCGCCCTGAACGGCATTGGACTCTCCCCCCATCCACTGCCCCGTTAGTCGCCGGAATCTGTGTGGTCGGAGCTCTGGCGTGAAAAGTCGGTGGTGGACGGTGACAGTGATATGGAATCGATGCACCTGTCCCCTCCTTCCTCGCCCGAGATAACCTCGCGGTCGCCGTCCTCGTATCGTGGACATCCGTTGTCTTGGCCCGCAAAGGCCTCCAATGTCGCTCCTCGTATGCTCTCATGGAGTCGTGACAACCACCATCGACGCGGCCTATGGATCGCATCCCCGCACGCACATCTGTCAGTTCGCATGCTGATGCATGTCCCTCATCGCCCGCCCTCCGGCCCCTGGTCACGCCGTCGTAGAACGACACCGTCGGCAATGCGGTGCTCGCCGCCACACCGTGGACGGCAGGGTTTGCGCCATGGGGGTGCGGAGGTGCGTGACCCCTGTGCTCGCCTTTGACACCATGTGCGATGGCCCCCTCAGCGACAGGCTGTGCGGCCGATGACCCTCTATGCTCGTAGTGTGACCCAGTGCTGTGAGCAGGCACACTACCATCTGTGGTCAATGTCCGTGCCAGACTGCGTTGCGCTGCGACGCGCACGGTACCATCCGTGCTCATTTCCTCGTCCACGTCCGCAGCGACAACGTCGGGAGCCGTCTCCTGCACCGAACGTGGCAGGCCTGGGTGCGGGTCTTCCTGAGAGACTGCCGGGAATGATGACCCATCGCGTGCGGAATCCTGTGCACAATGACCTTCCTGCGCCGCATACTCTGCATCCAATCTCTCAAATGAATCTCCCAAACTGTGTTATGCCGCGACGCGAGGGCCGCCACGGCGGTTCCGTGCCACCTGCTGCGCCAAACCCTGGTCCACCGCGTGCGGTGCCCCAACATGAAAAACGGCGGGAGTGGCGGAGACTGCGGGATGCAATATTGTGTCGCCGGCGAACTCGTCGAATCCTCTACACACTCCATCTGCGTCATCTGCTCGACCAGTCGCTGGTGGTGCCACAAATGCCAAAGTGGGAGAAATCAAAGTCGATACATCAGGAAGATCAAACAACACCGACTCCATGGCGAGCAACTCCGCAGTGGGCGGAAGACTGTCAGCGGGGCAGGCGATGCCAACGTGGTTGACCGTGGCAGGACGTGTAACCTCTCCCTCATGGGCACAACTGGGAGTACGTGCAACCTCTCCCTCATGGGCACAACTGGGAGTAGGCAAGCGCCGTAGCGTAAGCTGGTCGTGCAACCTCTCCCTCATGGGCACAACTAGGAGTAGGCAAGCGCCGTAGCGTAAGCTGGTCGTGCAACCTCTCCGTCCTCCAAACCAATGTCAACCGTAGGAGGATGTGCAACCTACCCGTCCTCCAAACCAGTGTCAACTGTGGGAGGATGTGCTACCTCTCCGTCTTCCAAACCAACGTCAACGGTGGGAGGATGTGCTACCTCGCCTTGGAGGGGACCGTGACGCTGGGTGCCCCGTGGGCGCCCGTGCAGACAACGGTGGAAGGAGGTGGCACATTCCCTTCACCATCGGGAATTGTCTGCCCATCACTGACTGCCCCTCCTCGAGCTTCCGCATGAACCACGACCTTGGGTTGTGTCAGATGGCGATGAGACTCCTGTGCGACCGCAGTATCTGCAATGGGCGCCGCAAGCTCGGGACAAGTCAACCCTGCTCCACTCTCCTCCTGCGCTGAAATCGCCGCTACAGACTTGGTCGGGCCCTCGACGAAACCGAGTTGATGCTCAGCGCCCCTCACATCGAAAGTCTGAGGAATGAAGTCCTTGTCCGATGTGCCGCTCAGGGAGTCCTCATACACGAGAACCTGCTCGTGCTGCGCAACACGTGCGTCCGTGGCGGTCGCATCAGGAAGAGTCTCAAGATGACGCCTGCGCACACGAGAGCCGATGTTGTTCTCCTGCCTGGGACCGTGTCTCAACCGCTTCAAGAAGAACCCACGACCACGCATAAGAAAGTCACCCTCACTCCCCTCAACTCTGTCGTCACCTCCCGCGTCGCCGCCACCTCCTGTGTGACCTCTGTCGTCACCTCCCTCGTCGCCGCCACCTCCTCCGGCACCTCCGTCGTCGCCTCCGCCACCTCCTCCGCCACCTCCTCCGCCACCTCTTCCGCCTCCTCCTCCGGCACCTCTGTCGTCGCCTCCGCACCTCCTCCGCCACCTCCTCCGCCACCACCACCTCCGCCGCCACCACCTCCGTCGCCACCTCCTCTGCCACCTCCTCCGCCACCTCCCTCGCCACCACCTCCGCCATCACCTCTGTCGTCGCCGTCGCCTCTCTCATCGTCCGTAGGCGCGGGCGTCCCCAATGCAAAGAAATCCTCGTCGTCGCGGGATTAGCTGTAGAACAAGAAGTCTCCCTCGTCCATACACTGGCGGGCCTTGCGGATGAAACCGTCCGCCCGCTGTCGACGAGTCCCAGATGCAGCAGTCCTGCCACCACGCCTCGTTCCTCCGACACCTGCTCGCCCACGGCCGCCACATCCACCTGCTCCGCCCCTGCGTCGCCTCCTGTCGGACTCCGCCACCCGACGCATGGCTCCCATGCGGGAAACAATGCGCATCCTCTATCTGGCGTGAGCCAACTCCTCCTCGGTCACCCTCGCCAGTGCACCACTACCTCTGACGAGCTGCTGGTCCACTGCCACCTCCTCCTCCACAGCCTGCCAGTAATGCACCCAGTTCCCGAAAAAATCAGGGCTGTCAGCAGGAGCATCGTCACACAACGACGGTCTATCAATGAGCCTGAGGTTCCAGTGGCACCGCACAAGCTTCTCGGCCTGAGCAACCTCCAACCTGTTGCGTGACTTCGAATGAATGAAGCTCCATTGAGACCATGCTCTCTCGCATGGTGATGCAGTCGCCCAGATGCGAAGGATCCTACCGGCAAAGATGGCCGTGTGAGGGTACTTCGCATTCTTCGTGGACCAAAAGCTGGCAGGGTGGCTGTAGCTGCCAATGATCGCCTCATGTTTACATCATCGAAATGAGACTCCTTTGTGTGGAACTTGAATACTGCCTTAAGGACTTCCTCGTGCTGCACCGATCCCTCTGCATAGCCGAACTGGACCAGGGCTTCGATCAATCCCTGCTRCACCTCCTGGTCGTCGTTCAGCGTCGGGTCTCGGAACTCGAGATCCAGCAAYATGRCTGCTATGTGGGCGGGTGTCCGGAACATGGTGCGCCGCCTGTCGAACACCTCCAAAATAGCGTCYTGCTGCYYCCGATCGAGGTCGAGGCATGCAGACAAGCAAGATGCGATCACAACCTCGTAACGACGCAAAATCTTGCTTATCTGGCGTGTGTCACTATCGACTAGCCTCAGCATATCCATGATAGACTCCAGCATCTTGCACAAAGCTCTCAAATCCTCCCACCATGGAGGAGACCCGATACACGCAGTGACCTCTGCGGCGTCCTTGCGGATCTTGTTGGTCGACCAGACATTCTCACGCCACCGGTCGTCACCGACAAGCTGCGTGAGCTCTCCCCGCAGATCCACAAGCCTCGTCATCATGATGACGTTAGTGCCGAATCGAGTCTCCGCCGGCAGTAGAAGGGTCTTCGTCGAGAAGACCTCCAAAACCTCCCGTGCGTGGCCATGGTGCTTGAAGAACCTCGTCACCAACCTTGCCTGCGCGATGCGAGTGACCACCCAATCAATCCCGCCGATGTCCTCGAGAATGAGGTCCATCACATGAGCGACGCATGAAATCCAGAAGATGTGTTTGATGCTCTCGTCCTTCTGGAAAACCTCCATCGCTGCGACGTTCACCCCAGCGGAGTCCGTCACGAACGCTGTGATGTCGCTCAAGTCCACGTCCATGGACTTCACCCTCTTCATCCACGCGGTCGCAAGGGCAGTGACGTCTTTCTTCCTGTGCATGACGTTGGTGGCTACGTAAGCTGCCCCCAAATTTATCCCGACAAGGTAGTTGCACAATGTTTGACCCCTAATGTTGGTTCAACCGTCGGTCATGATTGTGCAACCAAACTCTCTCGCCGTGTCAAGAAGTGGCCGCGACGGGATGTGCATCCAGCTCATCCAAAAGGGATGTGCGCACCAGCTCATCCAAAAGGGATGTGCGCACCATGTGGTACGTGGGTACTTTGGGCGTGGGCGCCCCTGGAACCCCCGACGGGATGATCATCGCGAACATGCGTTTGAAGCTTTCAAGCTTAACGCAGTTGAACGCCATCCCACTCTCGACGATGAAGCGCATGATCTGCAAATGTCACGCGTGCTCCAAAGGGTCCGAATAATACGACGTAACGGCCTGTTGGCGATAGGTGCCCCGGCCACGTCYCGTCGTGGCTCCCCCGCCAAGGATCCCGACATCCAACAACCCACCAGGACTCTCAGGTGCCGCGCTCTGGGCCGCTGCAATGTCGCGCATGCGGTACAAAGGATCCAATGAACCGGTAAGTAYAGGTGGAGCAGCTGCAGCAGCACTTGTCGTCGGTGGAAGCGGGGTTGGCGACGAATCAGACACCGGAATGGGGACCTCAGAAGCAYCCAGCCCGGGCATTGCCTGTTCCCCAACTYGAGGAAGGGAAMTTAGGGAAGCARGATGTCGAGCATCTGCAGCCACGCGCGAAGGCTCYGGTCTGCCCGTCGTAGCAATGTGGTCGGCGGCCACACCATGTGGCACTCCTGACGGTGGAGGCGGCAACCAAGGGTGGTTCGATGGACCGCGATCAGYTGTGGCCGRGGCCGCAATACWGGTAGCCCGTGCAGCATGTGGCTGTCTGCCACTGTTAAAAACAGGGGCAAGTGTGCATGGGGCCGCAATAGTGGTAGCCCATCCAGCCGAAGTGCCAACACCCCCCCCCCCACGTGCGGCTCTCAACAAAAGCACGTGTGCCGTRTTCGTCGAACGCCGCACAACCCCCACCCCCTCGAACAGGAGGGGCCTCATTGGYCGGCACGGACCGACCGACGTGTAAACCACCTGCACCCTGTGTCCCTGTCAGCGGTGCAGACGCTGGAGCTGGTGGACGTGGTGGCGTTCGACGCGGCACTGTAACTCGAACGGCTGGACTGGACGAAGGCACCGTCTCCGAGGGGGCGGTGGCGGAATCGAGGGGCGACACTAAGTCCTCGGGGTATCGTAGCGGTGGCCACTGGAAGTTCGGATGACCGTGAGATAAACTCTGCAATGCCTCGATAGCCGATACAAACTCCTATGTTACCCCTCGTTCATTGAACGCGGGTTTTCTGTTCAGAAATTGAACGGAATGAACACGCGTTCAGTGAACGCGACCGAACGCAAAGTTCAATTCCGCGCAGGAAAAAAAAAAAAAAAAAAAAAAAGTTCTCTAAAAATTCCGAAACAATAATATGTTATGAAAAAAAATAAAATAAACAACTTTTGCCTGACAATCACATCCAAATTCGCTATCAAATTCGAAATACAAATAGAGAACAGCAAAAAAAAAAAAAAAAAAAAGTTCTCTAAAAATTCCGAAACAATAATATGTTATGAAAAAAAATAAAATAAACAACTTTTGCCTGAGAATCACATCCAAATTCGCTATCAAATTCGAAATAAAAATAGAGAACAGAAAATAGAAAAAAGTAAAAAAAGAATTGAAATTAGTGGGCGAGCATGATTGGACACCGCCATCTTTGGCGATTTTTCATTTTTTTTTTCCTTGGCAAAATGACTCCAAAATTTACAGACATGTAGCCCACATCATATAGAACTCACAAAAGACAAATCAGAAAAAAAAATATATTTTTAGGCATCGAAAATAGTTTTTGAAAAAATAAAATAAAAATAAATTGAATGCGAACGCGCAATCCGCGTTCAAACGCACATTTGAACGCGAACACGCAATCCACGTTCAAACGCACATTTGAACGTGAACGCGCGCTCACCGCGTTCAAACGGTTACATAGACGAACTCCTTCGGACATTTTGTCATGTCCTTTGACCAGATGGCATAACACACTGCAGGAGTGGCCAGCTCGCATCGGAACTTCTCGCTCTTTGATAAGTGTTCCTTTGCGGCCTTAGCGCCCCCACACATCGAACGACCGCACAACCTGCACATGCAGCGACGACCMCTCTTTCTACCCGCCGCAGTGGACCCATCCAAATAACAACCTCGTGCGATGAAATGCCAGACGAGGTCGTCTCTCTTGCCGTCGGTTGTCGGATCAACCTTGAACGGCGAGTCGAAACTCTTCGTGTTGTGACCTTGTCTGGCGGCATTGGACGAGTCC